AAACCACCCTTTGAAGGTTTTTCAAGAATTTTCTAGAAACAGCCGATAAACTTAATGAGATCTACAAGAAATCTAATGAGACCCTCGAGGTTGTGATAAAGGAGCAACTAGAAATTAAGCATACACTGACTGAAATAAAGAATATTATACAGAATCCCAACAGCAGACTAGAGGATTGCAAGAATCAAGTCAATGATTTGAAATACGAAGAAGCAAAAAACACCCAACTGGAAAAGCAAAATGAAAAAAGAATCTAAAAATATGGAGATAGTGTAAGGAGCCTCTGGGACAGCTTCAAGCGTACCAACATCTGAATTATAGGGGTGCCAGAAGAAGAGAGAGAGCAAGATATTGAAAACCTATTTGAAGAAATAATGACAGAAAACTTCCCCTACCTGGTGAAAGAAACAGACTTACAAGTCCAGGAAGCGCAGAGAACCCCAAACAAAAGGAATCCAAAGAGGATCACACCAAGACACATCATCATTAAATGGGACACAGTTAAGAAATGGGCCTCCTCCACCTGTGGACAGTGGTCTCCACTGTGTTGCTCCTCAGCCGGTATATCCTGCAGCTCACTGGCCCTTCACAATTATTCACACGCCCAGCATGGCACTGAGGCTTGTACAGAAGCTCAGAGTCTTCTGAGAAAGTTGTGTAAGCAGAGTAATGGTCACAGCCAGTGGAGACTGCCTCGTTTTACACAAGCGTTGAGATGCATTCGTCACTCCCTGGGAGGTGCTGGGGCACACATAGGACAAAGGACTAAGACAAATTATATCAAGAATGCCTCCAATAGTGACACTTGCTGGGCTGCCCCCCCCCCAAAGCTGGGGGGAAGGGGGGCGGGCGGTTGACTCCACATCAACAGACAAGTCCAAAGCCTGTGCATTCTCCTATTAAACGTCAGTGGCCGACCCTCCACCGCAGGTGAGGCGGAGCTCAGTGGCTGGCTCTGAGTCAGTGGTTGGCTTCAGTTCAGCCTGGAATGTGAGTTATTGACAATGTCTGCGTCTGGGTCAACGTTGATGTCTGGGAGTCATGAGGGGAGAGTCCCAGCCAGGAGGAGCCAGGTAGAGAGGATGAGGGCCTTCCTGACATGACGCTGGTGGGGGCAGGGAGCGCGGGAGGCTGGAGAAGGCGAGGAGGAAGTGACTGTCCTCAGTGTGGTCCACACACGAGTTTCTCGGTGGCAGCCAGGTCCTGCGCTGTTGGTCTCGCCAGACCTGAATGAAAGCAAAACCCGGGGCACATGGAGGTCAAAGACCTCAGCTAAGTTATGCCCCTTTCTAAGGGATTGTGCCACCCTCTGGAATGGAGATGGCATTTCTAAAGTTTTAGAGAAAAGCCGGCCCTGGGCCTCCCCCTGCGGCGTCCCGGCCTTGGGGTCTTCCCAGTGAGGGACTGCCATCCTGGGCTCCCGGAGGGAATTGGACCCGCCCCTGCTTCCAGACACCTGCTGTTTTATAGCCAGAGTCTCAGACAGAGGAAGAGGGGTTTGAAGTCCACCTCTTTTTGCATAAAGACCTGGCCCAAGGTTCAGAGTCACAAGGTAACGACTGAGACGAGCTGAATAAACGTGGATAATCTGAGTCCAGCTGCTATTCAGGGAAGGTCTATTGCGTGCCAGGCCCTGAGCAATGGGGAGTGGTGAGCAAGGGACTCCGAAGAGCCAGTGTGAAGGTCGTTGTAGGCCTTGCTAAGGACTGGTTTTACTGTCTCCTCAAGGTGCAGGTGAGTGAGGCGAGTTCTAAAAGGGGAATGACACAACTAGATGTATGTTTCAAGAGTTTATCCAGCCCTGGCTGGTGTGGCTCCGTGGTTGGAGTGTTAGCCCTCACCCCAAAGGGTCATGGGTTTGATTCCTGTTAAGAGCATGTACCTGAGTTGCAGGTTCAATCCCCCATCCCTGTCAGGGCACTTATGGGAAGCAACCAATCGTTGTATCTCTCATATAGATGTTTCTCTCTCTCTCTCTCTTTCTCTCTCTCTCTCTCCCCCTTCCTCTCCCTACCTTCTACTCTCTCTAAAAATAAAAATCAATGGAAAAAATATCCTTGGGTGAGGATTAGCAACAACAAAAAAGAATATCAATACAAAACAGAATAGTGTATTACAGCCTTTAAGGATATTTCATTGAATTGAGTACTGAAAAATTTACATCCTATATAATAAATAGGTAATATGCAAGTTGACCGCCATGCCCTCACACGAAGATAGCCACCCCCATGTGGTCACAAGATGGCCAGCAGGGGAGGGCAGTTGGGGGCAACCGGGCCGGCAGGGGAGGGCAGTTTGGGGAAATTGGGATGGCAGAGGAGCAGTTAGGCATCAATCAGGCTGGCAGGCAGAAGTGGTTAGGGGCAATCAGGCAGGCAGGCAGGTGAGCGGTTGGGAGCCAGCAGTCCCGGACTGTGAGAGGTCTGTTCGGGTGTTCGAACTGGCAGTCGGACATCCCCTGAGGGGTCCCAGATTGGAGAGGGTGCAGGCTGGGCTGAGAACACCCCCCTCCCTCCCAGTGCAGAATTTCATGATGCACCAGGCCTCTAGTTTATGAAATAAAAGTAAAAAAAAAAAAGTTTATTGCCCAGCCAGCGTGGCTCAGTGGTTGAGTGTCAACCTATGAACCAGGAAATCATGGTTTGATTCCGGGTCAGGGCAAATGCCCGAGTTGCAGGCTCGATCCCTAGTGTGGGGCATACAGGAGGCAGCTGATCAATGATTCTCATCATTGATGTTTCTCTCTCTCTCTCTCCCTTCCTCTCTGAAATCAATAGAAGTATATTAAAAAGAAAAGAGCCATTTCCCTTTAACCTTTGAACTTTTGGTAGCACTGTAAATGAACAGGTTGTAATCTAAACTATTAGGTTGTAAAGTAACAAGTTATAACTGAAAAATCATCTCATATTTGTTTTTTTTAAAAAAGAGTTTATCCAGACTGCTGTGAAAAAAGTCACAAGGAAGCTGATGTCGAACTAAAAGAGAAGCAAAGAAGGTGGCTTAGACAAAGTTACTGTATTTGTCACCACAAGAGAGAATTGGGCATGCATGTGATATACTTAGGAGGTGACGTTAGCGGGACTTGGGAAGAATTGCGTATGGTGGACCAAGCTCTGGCTTGGGTGTCCGGGGATGTTGGTGTCATTCACTGAGATGAGGCACATGAGCCAACAGGTTCCCTTCTTCTCTGGACATTAGTTTCTTCTGTAGTTCCTTCCAGCTCTCCAAATCTAAAATTCTACTTCCTAGTCAGAAAACTTCTCTGCAAGAAAGTAGAGGCAAAAAAAGGGGGGGGAGGCTCGGTGGTTGAACATCCACCCATGAACCCAGAGGCCACGGTGCAATTCCCCAAGTCACCTGCCCGAGTTGCAGGCTGTATTCCCAGTAGGGGCTGTGCAGGAGGCAGCTGATCAATGATTCGCTCTCATCATTGATGTTTCTCTCCCTTCCCTTCCTCTCTCTGAAATCAATAAAGACATATTTAAGAAAAAAGAAAATGGGTGGGGGGTCGGGGGAGGAAAGGATGGTGACATGAATGGGCCCTGCAGTTGGCTTGAACATCTTGCCAGCCTGGCATTCAGCACATGACTGAGGTAGTGGTTACCAAAGTTACACTGTTCTTATGAGTTTCACTTGTTTACACCATGGTTATACTTCCTGCACTTCCTTAGCCTATTAGCTTCCCAGATAAGATCTAGGGAGTGTTACAAGGTCAAGCCTAATTATGCTAAGAGGACTGTGCCCTCTAAGCTGGGAATTGTTTGTGACTTTGCCCATAGGTCAGTCCGAGGCTTAACCCTATATCAGCTCCCCACAACTGAGGACACGTGGGTGATGGGCAGAGCTGGGCAGCAACACCCATGAGGGTCCCCTATGTACTCCTCAGGGGAAGGATCTTCAATGTGCCGCACAAGCCCCAATGCTACTCACCCCCCTGGAGCGCCTGGAGAGAGGACGGACGCTGCTTGCCAATAGTATTTAGGTCAAACTCCTACTGAGAGGCATTGAGCAGAGGAAAGGCCGGAGGCCAAAACCACCACTCTCTTCTTATAAAGCCAATCACAAGGGAATTCCGCACATGCCAGATTGCCTTGGTCTGTTTGGGCTGTTAAATTAAAAATACCATAGGCTGGGTGGCAGTGACTGGCGAGGACCTGCTTCCTGGTTCGTAGACAGCCGCCTTTTTCCGTGTCCTCACATGGCAGAAAGGGCGAGGGGGCTCTGTGGGGCCTATGTGATAAGGGAATTCATTCCATTAAGAGGGCCCCACCTCCAAATACCATCACACTGGCTTTAGGATTTACCATATGAATGAATCCTGGGGGACACGAACATTCAGTCTCTGGCCCAGGCTCCCCCACCTCTCGGCCGATTCACAAAGAGGAGTCAGTGCCCACACTGCAGTGAGGAGGACACGCAGGAGCAGGGAGGGTCCGGCCTGCGGAAGGGCCACCTTCCACTGAGTGCTACGAGGAAGAGCCAGAAGCTCGAAGACACCCAGCGGGCGGCAGGGCACCACGCTCGGAGCAGCTGTGAAATTAGGGCAACTTGTTTTCCAAATTTGGAGTCTGCCTGCTTGTGTTAGAGAAGTGGTTTTCAACCCGACTCTCCACACGCTGGTTTCAGGCCTTGGTTCCGCCCTCCTCCCCAGCCCTCAGGTCAGTTTCAGCCCACCCAGGTGCCCAGCCCTGGCCCCTGGCACCACCCTGGGTACCCTTCCTCGGTCCCTGCTTGTCCCACAGAAGGGCTTGAGCACCAAGACTCGAGACAAGCTGAAGGGTCAGCAGAAGCAGTTGGTTACACAAGAGCAGAGAAACAAGGTGATTAATGGCAAATTCCCGTTAAACAGCCCGGAAGCATGCCTATGCACGCCAGCCCCAACCCAGAGGCTTGTACTATGCGGAGCTCTGTAAGAGAAAAGCACAGAGTGTTAGCAATTGGAGAGGAGAAACTTGGGTAAAAAAAAAAAAAAATAGTTATACTTTGTTTTTATTTAAAATCATACCTATGTTGTGCAATGGAAAAATGAAAAGTGATCCGTTTTTCTTAAGCACGAGTTTCCGGACTGGCACTCTAGAACAGGAGTGAGCAAACTCCTTCTGTAAAACGGCCAGTAATAAATTATTTCAGGCTCTGTGGGCCCGTCACAGCTATTCAACCGGGTGACACAAAAGCAGCTCTGGAGACCATGTGGGCCAGCGGGCGTGGATCTATTCCCGTAAAACTCTATTCACACAAATAGGCAGTGGGCCAGGTTGAGTCTACGAGCGGGCCAACCTCTGTTTTATCAACTGAAATTCAATTAAGCGTGAATATGGAGGCTGTTTAGACCGTGAAGTCATAAGTCAGGAGCCACAGTCCACTTGAGGCAGCTTTCCGAAGCTGCACTTATCAAAATTGGAAGTAAACAATTTTGCAGAACCAAACCTACAATCCTACAACTCCAATTTGTGATGAAATAGGTCAGGGCTCAATAAAGATGTAGAAAAGCCGGCCCTCCGTGGCCATGTTGGTTTCTCGCCCCTCCAGATTTGAAATCAGGTATTTATTTGAGTGAAGCCTCTTAGGAACAAGTGGCCTTTAAATCGATTCCCAGGGCCCCTCTTGGATTGTTTTTGCCACAGTTTAGACAAATCCATATATCATGGAAAATTAGATTGAGGTCGCTAGCATTAGAATGGATGTTTAAGTTATTTGAATGCTTTTGGAATTTAACAGTCACTGTTAGTGAAGGGTAAAAAATCAGCAAATATTATGTAAATCATTCTATACTGGTAGATAAAAGTGTAAGTTTGCGGATTGGTATATTTTGGTTGCAAATGATAGAAAACCCAAATCAAATTGGGTTAAGCCCAAAAGAGCACTTACTAGCAAAGGTGGATGGCATGATATATGGATTCGAACACCACTGGGACCCAGCTTCTCTCCCTCTCGGCTCTGGGTTCCAGGCTGGCTTCCTTCTCAGGCTCTAGGTAGTCATGAGTGGCTGCCAGCAGCTGCAGAGCAACAACCTCCAGGTTCAAGGTCAGTCAAAAAGAGGGAGTACCTCACTCCCAAGTCCCAGCAGAAGTCTCCTTGCATCTCATGGCTCTAGCTGGGCTCCATGCCCACCGCTAACCCAAGGCCATGGCCAGGGTTTTGCAGTACTCCAGCTGTGCCCCCACCCCCATGCAGGGCAGCCACAGGACAGAGGAAACCTTGCCTGAGCACATGCCTGGTTGCTGTAGATCAGGATGGTTTTCAAGAGGAAAATGAGAGGCCCGGTTGGTATGGCTCAGTGGTAGAGCATCGACCTCTGAACCAGGAGATCACGGTTTGATTCCTGGCTACAATAGCCAATGCCAATTTATCCGACCTCAATGCCCAAAGGCCCAGGCCGAGCCTTCCTGCTTAGCCTACTTCGCATGCAAAGATGGTGCCTCCAGTGGGGCCAGCAGCATTGTAAACCAAGAGTCCGGTGCCTTTCTTCTCCCAAAGCGCTGGGGGGCGGGGTGGGAGGGGCTGAGCAACTGCCTCAAATTTGGGGTTGGGAGCTTTTGTGGGAAAATGTAATGGAAGAGTTTTAGCTCCTTTGTGTATTTGAGGAAAGATCATGAGTTCCCAGAGAGAACCCATATTCTTAAAACAAATTCCTCTCGTTGCTAATTAGTAGAACTAGATTTCCGTAACTCATTCCGTAACACAAGGGTCATAAATAATCACCTGTGAATGTGCTGGGGGTGCGGTGAGCCTCCAGCTGCTGTGTGTATGGGGATTATTCAGGCCGTGAGGTTGTACATCAAGGATGACTCCAGTGGGGAGGGAAGTCGAGGCCGCCAGCTGGGGGCTGAAGCTGTGGGAGAGTTGTGGGGTACCACAGTGGCTTTCGGATGAGAGATGTTGGCAGGAGGCAAGCCAGGCCAATGAGTGGAGGAAGCTAAGTCTGCAGCAGTGACTTCTGAGGGAAGGAAACCTTAGCTCCTCGTCTGAGCAGCTGAGGAAGGTGGGGACTCCATGGACAGTAGCAGTGACCACAAGCCCAAGGGTGGATGCAGACGGGACTTGTACAAGGAACCACATGCCAGGCCCTGAAGAGAGCGAGGACTTGAAGATGAAGAATGAAGAAAGTTCTGAAACAGTGTACAGGCAATCAGATGAAGTGGTAGCAGGAGACCATCTTTCTGCTTTGCCTCCGTTGGGCCGCTAACCCACACCGTTTACCTCCCGCTCAGAGGAGTGGAACTGTGCGCCTAGACAAGCAGCAGGGAGGGCAAAGCCAGGCAAGGCAGGACTTGCAGTGCGGGCAGGGCAGAGTCTCTGTAAAGTCCCTTCTTCCATGTTGCCCCAAAGGTATAACATGGAGAAGAGATGTCCAGTGTGAACCCAACTCTGCCCGTGCCCGCAGGTCTGCGAGGGTGGGGCTGGGGTGGGCAGTGGAGGCAGCTCCCCTCCGGCCCACACCAGCCAGGCGTCCTGTGGTGACAAAGCCTGGGCCGCTCCACTGAACATGGGTGCCTGCTCTCTTTCCTCACCGCATAACTGTCCAGCTCAGGGAACTGCCCATTTAGTGTGTTTGGGGGAGCCCAACAGACGCAGAGCCATGCCCTCCCGCCCCCGAAACTCAGTCTGACCTTCACTTCTGAGGTGAACTTGGGGCCCCTGGGTGCCATTTGTAGAGGATCAATGTTTTCATCCAGGGACAGGGTGGGGGACCTCCTCCGTGGCCAACATCTTCCCTGAGCCTCAGTCTGCCCATCTTCAGACCCGCATGGCCTGCACATCGCCATCTGGCATCTCCTTGACCCCCGAGGGCTGTGGAACCTGATAGTCTGGATTTGAATTTCAGTTCCAGTGTTTGCTATAACCTTGGGCAAATCACTCAACCCATCCAGCCCTGAATTTCTCAATCTGTGAAAGAAGGATGTGAATGCTGGTCTGTGGTGAACATAAAACACGATCATATAAAACAGAGTGTAGTGTCGGTGGCAATGTGTTCCCTGGAGGTCAGCTACTTTGTGACCTTTGACTCTCTCCTGACCTTTGTTTTCTGTCACAGCCCAGATCAGGCCTGTCTCCTTCCGCATGACACATCTAGTCTCATTGTGTTTTTCAGGGCTTGCTCTTGGACCAGCTCCCACTGATGTCCGTGTGCATACTGCTATGTGCTTCCAGAATCTTGAGACTCAGTACTGCCCATTCCAGAACATTCCATCATCCTGAGTAACTATGAACTTCACAGAGTGGGCTTTATCAAGAGTCTTTTATAGAGCCTTCCAAGTACCCTGTCCGGAATAAGAGCAATGACACCCTCCTGAATTTCTCTTCCCAGAAGGTGGGTCATTAGACATTTCCTGGCTGTTACAGAGACAGTCACCCAAGGACTGAAGTCATTTCTTCTCAGGCTCTCGCTTGAAGCTTTGCCCCAACAAGGAGCGTTGGCAGCTGCTCCCGGGTCAACGGTAATTCTCTTTTCCTCATTAATGACTTCATGAATGCATCTCAGGAGCCAGGCCCACGGGGCGATGTTTGCAATGTTTGCATTCCAGCTCCAATAGTCACTAGAACCAGCTTTAGAAAACTGAAGTCTCTGGGTTTAGCCCAGAGCCTCACCCTCACTCACCCGCTCACCTCCCATCCCGGCTTCTAGAAAGTGCGCTCCTGCCACACCCTGAGGGGCTGTGCCCTGACTTGTTTCCTTGTGTTAAGGGGGTCATTAACTTCTCTGTCATCGCCCTAACCTGTCAAAGTGCGAAACGCTGGCTAACAGCAGAATGCACCTTGGTCCCCTGCAGTGACCAGAGAGGGAGAGGACTGGGGGCGGGATGAGGTGGGGTTGGGGAGTCTGTTGTCCATCAGCGGGCGGGGCTTGGAGGCCCCACCCTCCCCAGAGCCAGCCGGGATGCCTGTCTTTCTCCTTGTTATTTCAGCAGGCTTTGAGAAGTTAACCTTTCTCTACTAGAGAGGCTTCAGTTCTCTATCCTGAGAGGACACCCACAGGAGAGGACCCCGAGTTGCCATGAACCCTGCCATCACCAGCCGTGAGCACCCGGACCCCTCGGTGAGTTCTGGGGAGAGAGGGGGAGTGGGGGGAGAGAGGGGAGGGGGGCGGAGAGTGGGCTGCAAGGACAGAAGAGCCCTGGTGGGGCCCAGCATGGAGCCCCAATGCCTGATTCATCGTCAGTGCGAAGGACTGAGCGATGGCTTAGGAGCCTAAGATCTGCGACTGTTAGACAAGGGTGGCAGCTGTGCTGGGACCTCACCGTCCCCAGGAGCAAAGACAGTGCTGGCCTCTGTGAATGAGTCACAAAGGGAGGAAGACAGTGCTGGCCTCTGTGAATAAATTACAAAGGGAGGAGAGGTGGAAAATTCTCAGCTTTACCTTGACTCACAGGTCAACTCTGTTGGATCTAAATGTTCGTTCTCCAGGTTTCTCAGGTCATGATTCCTTTTATCAGAAATCCTTTCTGAAGCAAAGCTAAAGGAAAGGGAAGGAGAGAGAGAGAGAGAGAGAGAGAGAGAGAGAGAGAGAGAGAGAACTGATATTTCCTGAACCGCCAAAATGCCCCAGGCACTTTATGTACTTTATTTGGTTCCTTTGGAGCCCATGGAGCAAGCTCTCTGTCCCCATTATACAAACGGGGAACCCAAGGCCCAGAGAAGTGAAGTCAGGGTAACCTCTGAGCCCTGTCCCTACCACCTCTGCAACCTATTTTGGCCGCCGGAACCTATCAGGGGGGACTCGGCTCTGGCACTGCCCACCGCGCAGGAGCCCCTCCCGCATGCCGGGCCAGGGCTGCAGCCCTAGTGAGGCCCAGCCAAGTGTCTGCGGGACTCGGATCTGGGCTGGGCTTTCGGCGCTGTCCCCTGGAGCCGGTCTGCCAGGGCCTGCTCATGCTGGGCGGCCTCTGGTCAAGAGGCCCTGGCCCCCCTTCTAGAAAATCGTGGGGGCACCTGAGAGAACGCTCCTTTCTTCTCCCCAGAATAATTTCTACCACTACATCATGGAAGCCCCCCCATCCCCCCGCCCCCCGCCGCAAAGAAACCAGAAACAAAACAAACCTTAAGTCAGGGAAGACTCCCTTTTCTGAAGGCTGCGATGTTGGCCACATTTTGGGCTTCCCTGGGCCAGTGGGCGTGTGGAGGGGCCTGGGCACCTATCCGTCTCCTTTGAGTGGCCTGTCTTCTCTTCATTTTCCTCAAAGCCTCAACTTCAGCACCCACATGAGAGAAGGCGCTCTTCTGGGATGCGTGTGGTTTTCACCTGTACGAGTATGCTGCTCTGCTAGAAACTTCTAGGGCTATACACACGGGAAGATAGCTTCCCGACCTTGCAAGCTTATGGCCTAACTAGGGGAAAGCGGGGTACACAGAACTATTTCTATTTTAGGGGAGAAAACGATTAATTACAGGACAGGGAGACAAAACGTGCCAGGAGTCTGAGGCAGGAAACTCACACAGGGTGGGGCATGGGGAGAGGTGATGGGGGAGGAGACATTGAGCCCTTGGGTGCAGGATAACGGAGGCCTCATTTGGAGAGACCTGGGCAGTCCCATGGGCTACAGCCAGGTGAATGGGAGTGGTAGGAAATGAGCCTGGAGGGTGGAGTGCGGGATGGGAGGCTGTGCGTATGGATGGAGTCAGAGAAAGTGACCCGTCTTCCCCCCAGACCACCCCCTTTCCGGCGGCTGCCCCTGCGCCCGGCTCCTCTGGCTCTGCCCCAGGGAACTGGAGGGCTGGCCCTCCCTCTCTGCACAAGGGAGACGCCTGCAGGAACGGCCCTGGACGCCAAGGGGAGGGTGCCCTTCTCCCATTCACAATGGGGTCTCGGACCAGCCTCCGGTTCCTCACCTGTGAACCGGGGAGTGGTAAGATGAGGGTGAGAATCAAACGAGAGGCTGCTCGGAAGTTCCCTGTACACTGGGAAGCACCGCACAATGGCGAGCCGCACCAGAATGCTTCTTTCGGTGAAATGACAGCTGGTAAACTCAGCTCCACCCCAAAGAGGTGTGGCCCCTCTTCTCATACCAGTGCTCACCGGCAGGGATCGCTCCATTAAGAATCCATTCTCCGTCTGAAAAGGGGTTCCCAAGCTTTTTCCTGCGGTTGTGTGAGTCACATGCACAGCCCTCTCCCCGGCAGGGGGTTCTCCAGGGATAAAGGTACTCCCCATATTGGGATCTTCCACCTCCATTGGAGAAGCCCTTCTCTCCAATGTCTCTGGAATATCACTGGTTTCTGTGTGGGTCTTCAGTGCGCTAATGATCCCTCTCTGATGCACAGGAATCTTCAGGCACACCGTGTATTTGTCTTGTTGCTTGTTTGCCCCATCTCTTCCATAAGTGCCGTGAGGTAGTTAACAACAAAAGTCATATTTTGACTGGGCTCTGTGCTTTCCAGCCAGGACTCATGGGCTTCAGAGAGTCACATACTCTTCTTAGACAGAAAGAACCAGCTGCTCTCAAGGGAGACACATGCCTCCCCACACACCCCCAGCTCCACGTTCTAAAAGTTTTTCTTATTTGGAACCTCATGCAAGGTCAGTTTCGCAGGCATTCTTTTAAAGCACATGTAGAAGTGGTTGCCATAACCTTTAGATCAGTGGTTCTCAACCTTCCTAATGCCGCGACCCTTTCATACAGTTCCTCATGTTGTGGTGACCCCCAACCATAAAATTATTTTCGTTGCTACTTCATAACTGTAATTTTTTGCTACTGTTATGAATCGTAATGTAATTATATAAGTGTTTTCCGATGGTCTTAGGTGACCCCTGTGAAAGGGTCCTTCGACCCCCAAAGGGGTCGCGACCCGCAGGTTGAGAACCGCTGCTTTAGATGGTCCTAGTTGATATGGTGACAGCCTATTCAGAAGGCATCATGCTGAGAACACTCTTTGAGTCATTGTCTCTCAATAGGAAAAAAGACAAGAAGGTCCAGAACCAACAGTTCCCCCCATGTTTCCTTCTCCATCACCTTGAGAATTCTGAGGCCCTGGGAGAGGGTGTGAGGTGAGCTCGCTGGTGGAACACACACAACTGCACCTGCCGCAGCCCTGTGAGCTCAACCACAGGCGCACATGGGAGGCCAAGGGCACAATCGATGCATTCTAGGACCTCACAGCCCAGCAGAAGAGACGCACGAGTAAAACCGCTCGTTATAATCAACGTGCTGTGATGAGGGCTTTGGCAGACGTCAACACATGGCCTGGGGCAGCTACACCATTCCGGGACCAGGATCCCCTCTTTCCTGACTGGTTGGGAGGAAAACATGCCCACGTTCTGACCTTGGCATGGACCCCGCCCCTTCCTGCACAGAGCTGCTTCTCTGCCAGGGCTTTGGCTCGGCATCCACTCCTCTTGCACGGCCCCAGACTTCGCATGGAGGCCCTGCTGCGAGGTGCAGTACAGAAAACCCTTGGCCTTTTGAGTTTGGACCTAGAAATCCCCAGCTGGCCAACAGTTACCCTGCCTCGTGCCTCTGGCCTCTGGAAGCCATCCATCTGTGTGGCTGAAATCAGGAAGACCACTTGATTCCTCTGGAAAGACCCAGGTGTGTCCCTGTCTTGTTCCCAGCAGAAGGGTGATGGCGTGCTCACCTTCTGTGATGATGGCCAAGGCAGGAAGAAGGATGGCCAGCACCGGAGTCCCGGCAGCAGCGACCTGGCCTATGGCATCCTGGACATCCCACCGTGGTATCTCTGCATCATCTTGGGGATCCAGGTAATGCCACCCAGCGAGCACTGGGTCCGAAGAGGCTCTGCCTCCAAAGCCACAGCAGTAGGCACCCAGGTCCAATTAGTCAAGATCCGCACTTCAGTTGTGGATATGCTTGTCTTCCTTGTAGTTGACCTCCCAGGGAACTCAGACTTCTTGGGCCCCTCCTTCTCTCCAGGAGTTTCGGGGTGGGGGAGGGAACTAAGGAGGAGTCTCTTTCTCTAAAGACAATGACTGGGACGTTGTGGTGTGTTTTTGTTGTTGTTTTGTAAAGATATTACTTATAATTTATTTGATTGGCAACAACTAAAAAGTGTGATAACCAATGCCTGGGAAATTTTGAAAAGCAAGCGCTTTTGTTGGAATGTTCTTTGGTACA